AAAAAAAAAAAAAAAAAAAAAGGAGATGAAGATGTTGCATGACCCAAAATACTAAAACCTGTTTCCTCAAATATCAACTTTAAATCCTGTGTGACTTTAAACACCAACAGAGTTTTTCTGGCACTTCCAAGAGACAAAAACGTGTTACAGAAATCTGCACTGAGAGCACAGCACTCCATGAATAAACACCGCACTAAATAAGCAGCTCCAGGGAATCCGAACATTTCTGCAGCCTTTTCGGAAGCCCCACGCACACATATGCTGCCTTCTGCTCTGCAGCACCGGCAGTGCGGACAGCGTGTAATTAGGGGCCCTGTGATCTGCGTCAACCTCACCACGGTCCCCGCAAGGTGGGGCCCACAGTGAGCCCGCTCTCGGTGACACCCGAGATGGCTAAATTGCCTTCCTCAGTACCCACGGCATTCGGAAACCCTGCAATTTTGTCTCTCTGGCAACTTGAGATCTTTCACTTGTTCTTGTTCACTCAGTTACCCCAGGAATAGGAGCCTCCATCCCTAGTGCTTGCTCCTCCTCCGTCTCCTCCCTGGGTCTTAGTCTCCCAACTTCCGCTCCTGCGTGGATTGGGATTTATAACTCATTTCCTGCCTACCTGCCCCTTTAGTCTTTTCATTGCTTTTTCTTCTGATGCTACCATTTCTGAACCTTTAATGCTATCAGCTGGACTAAAACAACTAACTACCTTCTTATTAACCAAAGCCCCCTTCTGTTCTCAGGGGCCTTTCATTAATCACTTACTAGGAATCAGTTTTTGAACTTTTCAGTCTGGCAGAGAGAAAAAGCCACACTCTCCCTTAGGTACAACCCACAGCTCCCAGATGTATGGAGAAGCAAGGACGGGACGCTCTCTGGCCTCAGAGAAAGGGGAATTAGTCAGACCAGGAAGGAGCAAAGGCCTTGCTCTGGACCCCCATGGGCCCCTGTCCTTTGCTCTGGCCTCAGCGTCTGCTCCACCTTCTCCAGGTCCGCTGTCCTCATGGGTGATCTTGTCCCCTTCAGAACACGTGACTCAGTACCAGCAGAGTATGGTTTCTGCACCGTTCCCAGGATATGTGTCACAGTGTCATACGCTCCTGATTTCAGTAGTGACAGTAACTCATTCTCCACTGAGAACCTGGGGCACTGGGTAAGAAGTAGCAAAGAGGGTACGGTGGGCAAGCAGAGCCCGAGGGAGATGGAGGTGGGTGGCTACTGCTGCAGGCAGGGCTGCCTGGGGACATTGATGACGATGATGAGGGTGACTAGGGGATTCTGGAGGGAGCCCTGTGCTGTGGTTGTTGTGTGGGAGTCAGAGCAATGGGCTGGATGAGAGAGGAAAAGGTTTACCTGGGACCAGCAACAGCCTGTTAGGAGAGCACAGCGGCTGCCTGCTGGTGATGGTGTGGCTTTCTGGCTTTATTTCAGAGGTAATGAAAGCAACTTGTGATTTTCTGATTTGTAGAACAGAGGTTTATGGGGTCACTAAAAGTCAGGTACATTGTATACATGAACAATAACAGGCCTCCATCAATCTACTCTTGACTCCCCGCCCTCCTCTTAGAAATAGCCTTTTCCTGGCATGGTAGCAATGATTTGGGCAGGCTTGCTCATGGAAATCCCTGCTTCCCACACCCCAGTGGTGAGAGCAGACTGCCACACTGCCTAGCAGCAGGAGTGCCCCTGCCTGTGGGTGGCTTTTACAGAAGCTCCCAGTCCAGGCTTCTCACATTACACTTGGGATCTAATGACAAGCAGAGCGCAGCTCCTCTTAAAGATGAAAGCCATGGCACAAACCACGAGGACTTCAGAGAAATTCCACCACTAGAACATTCCAGGGGAAGGAAAGTTCCCTAGAAATGGCTCTTCTCAGCTCTTACCAATGCACAAGAGAGACAATCTCCATACTTCTGCAGAGAGTTTCCCACCAACATGGTCGTCTTCTGTTCTGCTGACTGCAGAGCATTACTTGTCATCCGGATTCCCGTAGACACCGTTTCTCTCTTCTCAGTGGAGGCTATAAATCAGCCTCACCTGGAGAGATCTGAAACTCCCACTGCCAAACTTCATCCAGGAAGGAGCTCCCGCTTGATGCCTGCCTGAGCCCTCTGTCATAGCTCCTTAGAGCCAGAAGAAATACAGTATGACATTTTGTCTCGGTGGGAGACACTGATAAATTGGAACTCTTTCTAATGCTATTTTGTTATTTTCCAAAATTGAGCTATTGTATTTAAACAGGTCCTAAAGGCCACTAAATCAAGTAACTCTTGACTTCTCCTTTTACTTAATGCAAGTTTCACACTCATACGCTTCATAAAAATATTTCTTTCCTTATGCACTTACTTTTCTTTTTACTTAATCCATGCCTGCTTCACTGCCAAAAAGAATATAAGGCCATTTTTATGCACACTGACACGGTTGGGCCTGACCACAAGCAGAGCAAATTTCAGTAGAGCAATAAGGACGAGCTGCGGCAGCAAGGGAGGGAGGGAGGGAGGCGGCAGCCGCTTACTGCTGGGTGCGGGGGCAGAGTCACTGAACTTAGCCCCCGAACGCTGTTCAACTGCAAAAGTGTTTCCTTTAGGGCCTAGGCACCGGTGCCATTTGTCAGATTATTTACAAGCTTCACTGTAAGGCAGCTCGTTCTCTGCACCTGTTAATCAGAACCATCACCATCGACCAGGGAGCCCTCTGGGACTGCGCTGTGAGTCTTTCACTGTTCCCCTTCTCCAGGTGTCCCACCGACTGTTGCAGGACTTACCAGATGGAGCAAGGACCCTCCGGAGGACACGAGAGTGTGTGGATCTGCACCCTCCTGCAGGAGCCGGAGCACTGCAAAACCAGACAGAGAGAGAATAACGCGCTTGGAGCAGGTCTCTTCCGCCCAAGCCCAAAGCAGGAGCACTGCATTCATTCTTAAAACATGAACAGCCATGGAAGCCAGAGAAAAACGATTGGTCACCTCGCAACCTGAGCTCATGCACGTAGAGTGTCCCGCATTTCCCTCAAAGGTATCCCTTGCTTTGCTGGGTAATCACCTGGTGTGCCCAGGCTCATGGATGAGAAAGTGGAACACAGTTTTCACAGTTTGTCATTTCAAAATGTCAAGTTTATACCACTTGTGCAAAACCAAAAATAAATAAATGAATAAAGACAAATTACTGAACCCGGCTTAGGAGGGCATTAGGTTGCTGAATTTTTGTTTTTCAAATTCATTAGGCCCTGTTGGCATCAAACAATACAGTTGACATTTTGTGCATTAAACACCCATTTCTGCCACTAGCCCTTGGCAAGGATCCAGCTGCTCTCCCAAAGCATGATGGGACAATGCACACACAGCCAAACAGCAATGTCACAGAGACTGACAAACACTGCAATTACGAGAATCAGCTGCCTGCGGAAGGACACCCCAGGTTGCCACGTGAGCAGCAAAGGGGAAATCACCAGCACACAGGTGGCCACAGGGCACTAAGAGATGGGCTGTGTAAAAAGTGTCCTTGCTCCTTCGCAGGGAGCTACCCGATGAGCCCCGCAGCAAGGTCCCTTGGGTTCCCAAGGCACTGTACAGCCTTCTGCTGTTAACAGAAGAACCGCAGTCTTCTCAGAAATCCATTAACGCATTTTCCAAACAGTATAATTACAGCAACATTACTGTTTTATTTCATTGAAATGAACTATACAAAATGGCTCGGATTCAAACTCACGCCTTACAGAAGTGGAATGTCTTTCCATTAAATTTCTTTAACCTGGAACTTGGAATGTTCTCTAAAGCTACCTTCTTTTCTGTTCACCCCTCTTCTTTCAGCCTTCCAGGGATAGACTCTTAGCCTCTTTTCCAACTCTAACAAGATGCCCAGAAGACACCAGGTCCTGGCTGGCTTGACTGCACAGCCCTAGCCCTCTCCAGCATGGCCAGTCTCACTGTGCTGTGCAGAGTTGGAAGCCTGTCCACCTCTGCAGAGAACCTGACAGGAGGAGCCACCAGCCCGGAGCGCTAGGCTATTGATCAGAGATATTTCCACTACGGGAATTTACAGTTATAGACTTGGGGTGATTCTGATGCGCTGGTGAAGGTTTGCCAATTGTTAAAACATGGGCCACTCTGGAAGGGCACCCTGATCACCGTGGAGGCCAGGCTGAGTAGCAGCAGCAGAGGTAAAGGAAATCTCTTCGTGATTTTGCCGTGAACCTACAACTTTAAAAAAAAAATCGTATAAAGTTACACCTTCCTAGTTAAAACTCCCTCTGTGTCCTGATTTAGTGACATCTTATCAGATTTCTCTGTTGCATCATTTTCTTCATCCAAACTTATCTTCCGATGTGCACTGTGATTTATTCTTTGAAGTGTTTGTGGCTTACTTAGGAGCAGGTCGGTTTGCTAGTGCTGTGCTAACAGAATACTGCACCCTGGGGTTTTAAATAATCAGTTGTTTTCTCACGGGAGTGGAGAGTGAAGTCAAAGCTTCCGGGTGCCCGTTCCTCCTCCCTCAGCATGTAGTTTCCTGCTGACACATGTTCTCTCTGTGAGCCCAGATTTCTTTGTTCAAAGGACGGCAGTCGGGCGAACCTAGTGGCTTTACCTTCTCTAAAGGTCCAATGCCTGCATCTAGTGACTTTCTGAAGTACCAGGGTGAAGGGTGAGCACAGTTCAGCTCACATCATTAATTTCTAAAATTCCTCCCATTAAAGACTTGTAGAGACGGTCAATTTCATTCTGTTGTCAGAAAAGACCTTTTAAATACATTTCCCTTTGAAAGCAGGGAAGAGGATGAAGAAGGGAATACACGTGTCACGTACACAGGCCGGCTCCGCAGAAGGAACGGAAGCATTCCACACTGCACACAGGCACTTCCAAAGAAATACAGTGCTTTGACCCGTGCGGCCTGCCCTGGAGAACGCTTCACATGTGATGCTGTGTCTGTTGCAAACGGGCTCCACGGTCTCTGCCTGACAGGGCCTCTGCTGAACTGTTCTGCCCACCACTGGAACAGGTATTCGTGTATTCAGCACCGATGGATTCTCTTTCTCCGTTCATTTCCGCCAGTCTCATGTCATGCATTCTGGAGCCTGTGGCACAAACACATTATGCCTTGTACGTCTTCACGATGAAATAATCCCTTTAGCTCTGTAAAATGTCCTTGTTCTCTTTTAAAGCTAGTAGAGAAAGTCTGCTTGTTATTCTACACCACCTATTCCAGCTTTGTTTTTCTCACTCTGAATAAGCTTATCTTTCTCCATCTCTGATTTTCACCTTGTGTCTTGAATCAAGCAGGTGTCTCTAACAAGCAAAATGCAGTTGCATGATTTTTAATCCATTCTACTAATCTGTCTTTTTGCATGTTAATTAGATTTATTAATATGATTACTAATAGAGAAGGAATTACACCTGCCACTTTGGTATTTGTCTGTTGCATTAGGTTTATTTTGTTCCACTGTGCCGCTCTTACTACCTTCTTTTGTGTAAATGGACTTTTATGTATGTTATCTTAACACCTTTGCATTTATCTTCCTGGATTGTGTTATCCTTATAATTTTCATCTGGATTCCACGAATACCTCAATTTATAACAATCTATGTCAGATAAGTACCAACTAAATTTAAATAGTGTGCAAAAGCTCTGCCCTGCTCTTTGTCTTTTCCACTCTGGGCCACTATATTCACCCAAGTTACATGTGTTAAATGTAACAGGATGAAAATAGAGTACCAAGAACATGCAGTGTATTATCTTTCATGCTGCTTCCATGTCCGACTTTCCACTGCCTTTATTTCTCCTGCAAATTCAAGACACCACATAGGGTCTCCTTTCCTCCTGCCCGACTCCCTTTAGTACTGAGAGTGGATCTAGTAGCCCTGAGAGTTCTCTGCTTTGGCCTATCAAGAGTGTCATGATTTTCTCTCCATTTAAGAAGGGTACTTTCCCTGGACAGACTTCTTGGCTGCTACTGTTTTCTCTTGGCTCTCGCTGACTCTGTTGTCCCGCTGCTCCTCCAGGCTTAGCAGTGAGTAGCCAGGTGCTGGTCTACTGAGGACCTTGGAGGTGATGAATCGCTCTTGCCTCGGTGATCCCAAGACCCTTTGTCCTTGGATTTCAACGGTGGTGCTGTGCCTCGGTGTGAATCTGCCTCACAGGGTCCCACTTGGGTTGGAAGTCCGTCAGACGGGCACATTGATATTTCCCAGCCCTCAGCCCTCAGCTCCTCCTGCCCCTTTCTCTGTCCTTCCATCGGTGACTTCTGAAGTTAGTCACTCTGATGAGCCCCATCTTTAACGTCTGTGCTCCTCTCACACACAGGCAGTGCCAGCCCCACTCATTTCCCATGGCGGTCAGCTCAGGGCTCTGCTGCAGCAGAAACTCCCAGCCTTTGCTGAGGGGCTGTGCTGAGGGGCTCCTCGCTGTCCACCTGCACGTCCTTCTTGTTCCTGGGTGAGACACGAGTCTTTGGAGGAGCCCCTGAGCAAGCCCACAGGGCCAGACACACACACAGCCTCTGCATCCCCAGGAACCTGTTCCAGCCTGCCACGCGCCCTGGGATCTGCTGTTTCCGTTTCCAGTCTTCTCCGTGTGTGTTGGCCAGCTGTTTGTCCGTCACAACTGTTACCCCAGGGTTGGGAGGACACGGCGTTACTAGCTGTTTGCCAAGTGCTCCGGGGAACGATGGGCAGGGAGCGCATTAGTCAGGTCGCAGAAAGCCAGTCCTGTGAGCAGGGTTCGCAGGGGACTGCGAGATGGTGAAACCCGGACAGCTCCCCTGGAGAGGTTTGAGGGGTCTGCATCTGTTCTGTAGAGGTGAAGGCTGCTGGCTTTTAAGGCCCCTGCATTGCTGAAGGGAGGAATGTGACCGATAAGACACAGTGAGACTCCCCAGCAAAGCCACTCTCCTTGCTAAGATCCAACCATTTCGGGAAATAAGTGCCCGTCAGTCAGATCACTGAAAGCCTTCAGTTAACTTCCAGTGACCTGGGAAAAGCTAATTTTAATAAACTTTATCACTATCCTTTTTCTTCTCTTATTTCTTTTCTTAACAGCGAGGGTCTAGCTGAGTTGTCCAGGCTGCCTCGCACTTGCCATTCTCCTGCCTCAGCCTTCAGAGTAGCAGGATGACAGGTGTGAGTCATTGCACCTGGCTCTCTTCCGTACTATTTGCCACTTTCCTGAGGGGCAGATTTTCAGGCCCTTCTTCTGTCTTCCCAGCAGTGGTCTCTGGCACGCATTTTAAATGTGACAGAAGAGTTCCTAAGAATATCTATTGCCCATTGAGAAGAATCAGTGAAGGTTCTGGGTTGAATAATGGTAATGATACTACTACTACTACTACTACTACTACTACTACTACTACTACTACTACTACTACTAATTTTTCCCAAGCTTACCTCACCAAGGTTTTATAAAAATGAAACAATATTTTTCAAGGCTGTTATCAAACTTCCCTGTTCTACAGAATTTCTAAAATACACGATTGTGAAAAGTATTCTCTGGTGGGAACCAGGCATGGCCTGCTCACCAAAACCAGACCTAAATTAACAATGCTGTAAAACAGACCTTAGGTGACAGATTTATAATGGCATAAATTTAATTCCACATTTCTCCAGAGCTGATTCTGAACGGTAAATCCAGAATGCACACACACATAAGCACAAGCTTCAGTTTACATTTTCTCCCTATACATGACCCTCTGCTAAGTTAAGCTATATTTGAAATATTCTTTCTAAGCCATACTTCTGCGTTAAAAATAACTCCCTTTACAAATGAATAGAACAAGATACTGAACTGACATAACAACTAATCTAGGCTCCTACTTACACATCAGTATTTGTGAAAGTTATTAAATTAT